ATACTATATATATATCGATGAATTAAAGTTTTTATTCAGTGTTCAATTGTGGATTCAGTTCAAAAGACCGATTTAATTAAAAAAACAAAAAAAACAACTTAATAAATTATTTAATTATTAATATGGACTAAAATTTTATATCATGTGATGTTGTTAACTCGGACTGAATATCCTAAATCAAAATTAAATTTTCAAAATTCGAATTTTTAATGAACAACAAAAAAAATGAATCAAAGACTTATCTTAATTACAAGTAAATTGTTTCTCCTTCAAACAATGGTTTCTATATACGCCTCCTCTATCAACTTAAATCCTCGGTGATTCCACACTCTCACGCTAGATGTCCAAATCCAAATCGATTGTTTTAATTTATTCTTCCTTTTTGTATTCTGATTATCGTCTCAGTTAGTGTTTTAAATGTTCACGAATTTTTAATAAACAATTTTATACACTTGATTAAATTAGTTTTTTTTTTAATTGCTAGTTTTTTTTTAATATTCAAACTCACATTAGGTTATTTCTTCGTCTTCTTCACTATGATCGGGGTTATGTTTTTTTTTTTAGTATATTTTCATTGTCGAACGTGTTCACAGCAAAAGGGTGCGTCTTCTTCTACGATTCAACTTTGATTGTTATTGTTATTTTTTCAAGTGTCGGTTCTTCAATTTTCTATCAAATGCGTAGCGACTAAGCTACTGACAATCGTGGATTATTTCAAAAATAATATAAATTTTGGTTATACAAAGTTAAAAGATAATTTATGTAAAATTTCGGAACGACATGCAATGTCGATCAAAATAGTTCAAATATGTTTTCTTTTTTCCAAAAATAATGATTATCAGATATTATTATCGATTTGTTGGTTAATTTCTTCAATTTCAGGAACAATATGGTTTTAAATGTCTTTATCATTATCGGTGAATTTTTAAAATAAGATTTTGGAATGGATATGGAAATTTTATTACTTTCTAGAAATATTACGGCATAGATTATTATTGATTAAGTGAAAGATCGCATTAATAAGTCTTTGTAAGAAGTTTTATCGATAATTTCATGAGCAATATCGATTCTCAACTGACAGGTGAAAACGTAGTCACATTTTTTCATTAATAATGAAATCAGATACTATCAGATACTCGTATCAGCCTGAATTAATACAATATGCATACATATTTCAATATGTTCTTTATAATTCAATATTATTTCATGACAAACATGACCACCATTTGGTGTAATTTTTGTGAAAAATGATTCTGCTTTTGTAAGCCGTTGTGGAGTTAGTATTCATTATAAATAATATTTCCAACTCTAACAATGCCATAAACACGTATTGATTTTTAATGTTCTATTTCATTGACAAAATCGAAAAACATAATGAAAATAATAAACAAAATCATTAAACTAAAACTAAAACTAACACTAGCACTATCACTAGAACTAACACTAGACCTACAACTAGAAACTTTCGGGTTAACCCGTGCGTTTTTTGAAAAAAATGTTTGACGTTCGGATGCCACATGATAGTGCTAGTGTTAGTTCTAGTTTTAGTTTAATTAACACCGGCCGTGAATGCCTTCGTACTTATAAATAAAATCATACTAACCAAAATAACGTAAACTAGATCTTTTACAAAAAACTAATAATTTTTAATAGATAAGTACGCTACATGTAAACTGTAAATAATTCAAAATGACAATTTTAAAATAAGGTTGTCAAAACTGACAGGTGACTATGTATTTTCTGTTTAATAGTGACATTGTCACAAAAATTAATGACGTTGTCGTTTAAAGAAAATGTTGGTTGTAAACGATGAATACTAAAAGTAAGTTTTTGTTATTTCGCGAAATAATAAAGCTTTTTTTTCAATATTTTTATAATTTAGAAGGGCCCTTCTAACTGCAGAGAGAGGGATGGACGATGTTCTAACTTTAGAAACACAAATTTAGTATTTAACAAATTCTTATGTACGGTTCTTAAGGTTGATTATTAAGGTTTAGAAGTAGAACGGAATGAAATTGGTACAGGCTTTAAATTTGAAAATGTATTGCGCAAACTAGATAGGAGAGGTTCTGTGTCAACAGAATGATGTGAATTTATAGAAAATTCTCCAGGAAGACAAAGTGGTTGCCTAACTCAGCGGGAGAACAACGCCGATCTTCTTTTAAAGAGAATCAGAGTCCCAACAGGATTATTGGTGGTTCGTGATTCCACCTATCGACATTTCCTATGGCTGTTATGGCGGTTTTGAGAGTCCTGTGCTTGTAAAATTGTAAAAGGGTGTGATAGATTGTGGTATGCCGATTCTGGAAAGATATTCACGGAGAAGAGTGTTTGCTACTGAAGAAGATGAAATATCATTTATAGGATAAGCTTCAGGCCAAAGTGTGAAGCGGTCGATTACTGTGAGGACATAAGAACATCCTAAAGATACTAAAGGTC